TCAGAGCGCAGAGTAAAGAAAGTCCTCCTGATTTCAGCAAGAGCTTTGCCTTCTGAAGAAAGGCAGAATCAGAAGAACAACTTTGAATTAATACTGACCTTTAAAAGAAGCTGATATTTTGTTATCCTTTGGACAGGTTTGATAAGGTAAGAGGAGATAGAGTTGGCCAGTCCATGTCGTTGTTGTATCTCCTGCATGAAAAACACAAACGTTTGAGGACTGTGAGCACCAGCCCTCAGATACAGACAGCTTTGAGGGCTACACAATAATGCACATTAACCACAAATTCTATTTTAGCAAAGAGAAATGAAAAAAGACAGGATGAACAGATATTTCAGCCACAGCAAATAGTTATGCTGTGCATCTGTCTACTTGCTCTGTATAAACAAAAGATAATTACCTCCAAGCGTTTCAAGAAACCTAAATACAAACAGCAGTGATCCAAGGATATGGAATATGTGGCAACGCCTTTTTTAAAAAATTAAAATCTGTATTCATTTAGTTACTTGCAAGAGAAAAGAAAACAAACTTCAGTGTTCCAGGGAACACAGCCAGGCTGAGGTGGAGGTTTCTCAGCATCGCCTGCTAGTTTAAGCTGTTTAAAGTCACAGAAAGCACCTTCTCCCACAAGGGGGAGCACGACGTAACATTTCCTAACTAAGGAAAGGGGTTACCAAGTACTCCAACAGGAAACAGCCACTTGCAAAAAAAAGAATGACCTCCACAAAGCTAAAGGAGAAAACCAGAATTAGATTATTGTTAGATGTGATAACTGCAGATTTCAAGTACTGATCATGGTTGAACTTCATGGCCAGTGTGTGCCACTTTTCACAGTACTGGGTATATTTTAACCACACAGTTTCGTGCACCAAGCTATGCACTGCAGCTACGTGCTTTCTAACGATGATTACGGCATCGGAAATGCCCAAGAGGGGATACACATGACGTTTTCAGGTGGTCCAGTGGTGGACAACCGAAGCTCTTCAAGTCACCTGTGCACAGAATCAGGTCTTCATACTTCTAATCCATTTTACGTGGACTAGGGGATCCAGAGCTCTGGATGTACTGGTTAAGACAGAGGGATCAAAGGAGGTGGTGGCAAGAACATATGTCTAATACAGTTTTATCAAAGCCCTTTGCTTTTTTTTTAAATAGTATTTACTAAATTCTATTTGATTTTTTTTGGTCGTATCTTCCTTATATCCCGTAACTTATCTTCAGGCACTGAAAACAGAGGCTTCACGGAAAGGCTTTACCTTAAAACGTTCGGAATCCCCATCTCCTCGGTGAGAGACTTTTGAAATTAACCCCAAGAGCTTCAGAGATTTTTCATCTCTTTGTTTATTATGTCCTTCCCTCTACTTCTACAAACAATTCTTTAAAAAATGCATGGTGTCACCACACAGGTGGTGGCTCAGCAGTGTGGAGCAGGAAACAAAAAGGGGCAGAGCGCCCTGTAACTGAATCTATAAATACAAGTCCTGCAGCGTGGCCAAAATTCCCCAGATAGTGCAGTTCCCCAAAACCCCAAACAGCTGCTACAATTCAGTCCTTTCTTACGTGGAATAGTACAGGTAGACCAAGTAACCTCTGAACTCAATGAGCAAGCTGGGTAGTTCAGCAGCTCTGAACAAGGACAGTCAACTCAATTACCACCTACATTCAATTACAATTTAAAGGCGCTCCAACAAATTTTACAGTTTTACATCTTTATTACATACAATTTATGTAATACACATAATTAATTTATGTAATACACATTTGCAGAACGTACTTGTGAGAGATGAAGATTCATGTCACAGCTGTTGCTGCCAGAACCTGCTTCCAGCTCTGAACTGCTCTGATACGTGACAGTGACTTTTTACATTTGATTTGACTGCTTTATGAGACCAACCGAGCAGCGTAAGCTAACCACGTGAGATAAATGACTGAATTTCTTAGGCTGACACTACATTGCAGCATTTGTACCCTGAAACTCGCATTTTCCTTAAGAAATTAGGTACTCAGCGTAAGTGCAAGTACACATTTCAAAGCGCCAAGGCATACTTTTAAAGACGACACAAAGTACTTACATCAAAGTATGCTCCTGCATGTTCTAATATCAGCTGGGTAGAATCTGGCTTATTTTTACAGTAAGTAACGTACATTTGGAATTTGTCTGCCTGCAGAACAAAATGCAAATTTACACAGGTTATCAGAGAACATTTCTGTCACATTATGGTTTTTTTAGTTATCAAAAAGCATCTCTTCTCTCGCAAGAAATTAAACTATACAGAATTATTTTCCCATTCAAACTGGCAGCGTAAGAAAATACATCAGGCAAATAAGACTGAAAACAATAGCAGTGAATGCAAAAGTAGATTATTCATAGCTAAGACAAAGATACCAAACCAAACCTGAAGGCAGGCTTCGGAAACTTGTGTAATTTCAAGAGCAGCTAAGCACTGGCTTCTGACCTAAGTGCTTTAATAATTTTTTCTCCAGCTAAATATCCTTCAAATTTGAGTAAAAATGTGTGTAAGAGGTACTTTTACATATTTTACAAATTAAAAAGGGACTTGAGACTAGAATCCATCCCTTCATGATTCCCATCTCCTTTGTTACTTCTCAACATAAGTCTGAGTTTATTACCCATGTAACGAAGCAGTGTCCAACATCTTCTGGTAACTGTTCATATTTTTCCAGCTCTTTGAGGAATATACTATGAGTAGAAAAGAAACAAACAGTATAAGGCACATAAAATATTCTCATCAGAGCAGCTGATATTGATCTATTGTCTTCAAAAAAAAAGGCAGTTAGAAAACTTGCTGTAGTTCATACCAACAGCATGAGTTAAAGAAATCAAGATCACAGGAATGGATAAAAAGGTGTAATAACACAACTAACATAAAACGTAGTTCAGTACAAATTCTCATGTGAAGATCAGCAATTGATCCAGCAGATGTGGTTAACGCCTAAGAGTACACAGATTTAATAACTGCTGTTGTACTCCATCAAGGTTTCCTACTGTTTCATTTCAAGAAAAGTTGAAATGAAAAGTTCTCTTCATCTCAAGAGAAAATGGAGGCGACTTGCTTTTTGGATGCTTAAGTTAAAACAAAGCATACCAATGAATGTAAAATCAGATTCTGGAATAGACTAGGTATATTTTATTACTTAAAAATCATGACCCAATAGAAATGCCAATATATGAACAAAGAAGATTCAGAGTAAGACTTCTGTACACACATCTGTCCAGGAACTATTCCACTCTTTCATGCCCTGTACTCAAGTAAATGTAACAATGGTGGAGCATCTCCACAGCCGCTTTGAGGAGCCAAAATGTGCTACATCTGTTCTTGAGTTCAGTTGTTTCCATCTCTTTAGGACAACTAGGACACCTATGGCAAAATTTTAATATATCCAAATAATTTCTTAAAAGCTGAAATATATCTCAGACTGAAAACAACAGTTTCTAATGGTGTACCTACCTGATGACAAAAAGCAACAAAAGAAACAATTTTGCAATGTGAGAAGAAAACCTTCAGATTTTTAATGAAAAAGCATCCATTATTCATATGCACAATATTTTCACTAGGAAATCCCTCAGGTCATCATTTGGATTTAGCAGTAATATGGTAATGGAAGATAAGTCACTCACTTATTGTGGAACTCATAGATTTCCTGCATGTTTCCAAAGATAATGTGTTCTTTGTTTACAATACCAGCTGGGATCTCCTCGACTCCGCTTGTCATTTCCCACAGATATGTCTGCCCAGAACAGAAAAGATGCATGAAAAGTCATGATAAACTCTGAACAGAAGCACCCAGATACCTGTAAGCATGCATTCCTGGAGAGAAATCAGAGAAAGATCACACAGCATCATCATCTCCAATTGTGACAGTACCTGTTGTGTCAAATATACCTTGTGATTTTGATAGTAAAATCCAAGTTCTAAAACTAACAATTTAACATAGTCCCTGAGACTTCATCATTTAAAATGCACAGTGTTCTTGACAACCTCTAACGCTTCAGGATATTCCTTATCAAGGTTATGTCTGCAGTCTAGAAGTCCATGCTTTGTGCAAAAGCTAACACTGAACATTACTTGCTTCAATGTGACAATTACTGGGCGCTTTTCCATGGAACCTCTCTGAATTTCTATTCAAAAAAGTCAGCTAGTAGCACAACATGTGATACAGATAACAAGAGAATTAACACAAGCACTTCGCTATTGCTAGCAAGGCAAATAAAGCAAACCCCTCCTTTTTCCCTCCCCTCTCTACAACAAAAACCCTACACATCTATTAACTGGGAAAGAGCAAATGCTGAAACTCAGTAGTGACAAAAAGGAGAACATACAGGATGTGGCTTTTATCAGATGTAATTGTAAGTTTCTTCTTCATAGCAAAAAAGATACTTAATTTGGTCCTGTGACTGCAAACAAATCATGCTCAGCTGTTAAAACCAAAAAGAAACAGAAAACAGACCGAATCCTGTCTTCAAAGATTATTAAAAAAAAGAAAAAAAACCCACTTACATCCATGCATTCCCGGAGGTCTCTTACGTAAGCCTTTTCTGTCTGAATTAGCTCAGCCATAATGAACCTTAGGTGACAACAGAAAGAATAATCAAATCTCAGTCTGTTAGATCATTATGAATGCATAATAACCAGAACACATCTTTCTCCTCATCAGCTTTTGCTTCTTCCACTGCTGCAAGAAAAACCTGAGGACTGAAAAGTGAAGAGAGACAACAGATGAAGGAAACATGAGGTAACATCCCTCCATTACTAACTGGTGTAAAAAGAAATGGGGAAGGAGATGGGATTTTTTTCTCAAATGCTTTATACTTGCTATAGTCATTTAACTGTTGTCCTCCCTCCTCCTCTTACACATTCATTTCACATCATTTTTAAAAAGAAAGCATATTAAAACAAGTCTAATATAACTGTGTAAGTTTAAGATTCTGATATGCCAGAATTATCTGTGAGAACAAACGTGAATAAAAGGCAATAGGAGCTATTGAGTATTATCACTCTTTTTACCATTTATCCAATTTCTAAGCTGCCAGACAAGCTGTGACAGTAGTTTCATTATCAGGATTGATTTATGCATTCTCATTGATTAAAAATAAATAAATTTATTACTCTTTCCTGCGGGCAGACTTTCGTTTTTCTTCGTTAAGTTCATGAGCAGCATCACGCAGTTTCACCTCTGAACCAGGGACACTGGCTGGGATTATATCCAGCTGCAAGCTTTTGCTCTTCATTAAAGAAAGGAAGAATTGATTAAGGAAGGAGACAAGAGAAAACAATAGCTAAATCAAATGCAAGCAAAGCTTGTTTGTCTGTCATCACACTAATTTCTCTTACCGACTTATTGGAATCAGAGGAAATACCCAGAGCTTTCTCCAAAGAGGTTCTGTATTTCTCCATGCGCAGGGAAAAGTCTCTGTACCTCTTATCTACTGCTGTGACACATTTTTTAATCTCTGTTGCATGAGCATGCCCTTTTTCACAAAAGCCATCAGCCAGCTGTATCAACAACTTCACCCGCTCTTTGGTTTGCTATGAAAACAGGAAAATATCAAACAGTTACGAGCTCTACCTGTCACGAAGGGGGTCATCTTGCCCAACCTGCTACTAAGTGCAGTTGGAGATGCCATCAAAGGAGCTAGCTTCCTCCCCTCTCTTCAGAGATTGAGAACAGGCACTTTTTTTCTAATAAAAAGAGCACAAGATGAATATAGCTTTCCTTAGGGTTTATTATTACATGACTAGAAGCAGGTTGTTTATTTCTTCTTTCAAAAACGTGCACTGTGTCTAACCCAGTCTGTGGGGTTTGGGGGGCTTTGGTAGTGGTGGAGAGGCCGCAGGGATGGCTCCTGTGAGAAGCTACTAGAAGATTCCCCAATTCCAAGTCAGACCCACCTCTGGCTGCGGCCAAGCCCATCAGCACCTCTGACTAACATATCTAAGAGGGGAATACAAAAGACTTCTTCTTTCAAAAACGTGCACTGTGTCTAACCCAGTCTGTGGGGTTTGGGGGGCTTTGGTAGTGGTGGAGAGGCCGCAGGGATGGCTCCTGTGAGAAGCTACTAGAAGATTCCCCAATTCCAAGTCAGACCCACCTCTGGCTGCGGCCAAGCCCATCAGCACCTCTGACTAACATATCTAAGAGGGGAATACAAAAGACAACCAGCAGCCATCAGCACCTCTGACTAACATATCCAAGAGGGGAATACAAAAGAGAACCAGCAGTGGAAGCAGAAGGAGAGAGGCTGGGTGTGAGAGACACAACTAGGCAGACACCGCAAGTCAGTGAAGAAAGTGAGGGAGGAGGTGGGTGGGAGCAGAGGTTCCCCTGCAGCCCGTGGTGAGAGGGCAGGCTGTGCCCTGCAGCCAGGGAGGGTCACGGGGAGCAGAGACCCACCTGCAGCCCAGGGAGGACCCCACGCTGGAGCAGGTGGCTGCAGCCCCAAGGGAAGCCCATGCTGGAGCAGGCTGCTCCTGAAGGACTGCACTCCATGGGAAGGACCCATGCTGGAGCAGTTTATAAAGAACTTCAGCCCCTGGGAGGGACTCATGTTGGAGAAGTTTGTGGAGAACTGTGTGCTGTGGGAGGGACCCCAGCCTGAAGTAGGGGCAGAGCGTGAGGAGTCCTCCCCCTGAGGAGGAAGGAGCAGCAGCAATGTGTGATGAACTGACCGCAACCCCCATTCCATGATTTTTCTTCCCCAAGTCGAGTCTGTTTTGCCCATGCCCATGGTTGGTGAGAGATCCCTCCCTGTCATTGCCTCAGGCCATGAGTCCTTCCTGATATTTTCTCCTCCCCATCCCACCAGTGGGGAAGTGAGGGAGTGGATGCCTGGCCTTTTGTTGCCAGCTGGGCCTAAACCACAAACGCCAGAGATTAAATTCTGCTTGGCAAGCTTTTCAGAACATGGGTATTCTCACATCAATACAAAGGGGTTTTGATGCCAAAGAGGATAATTTGTTCATGACCACTGAAGCACCGATACTGGACCTGGCCTACAGTCTCAAGAATCTGCCTCCTTTAGACATCACTGAAATGCTGAGAGGGAAATAAGTCTTGTTATAGGCTTTACACTTTAATGGATTAAGACTGTATTCTTTACATCTTTTTTCTGTTATGTTACGTTGTCAACACAGTTGTTTGAGAGAAACTAAGGAAACCAGGACCCACCACCAAATCTGTAACTAAGTGTTTTTCCCAACTAACAAGCTGCCTAAGACTCTGTACTTACTCTCATGCAAATCGTAAATCATCTACAATGAATAAGTTTATACCTCCAAGAAGATGAATTTCTACACCAATAAGTTAAAGCAAAACAGTAAGAACGTGACTTTATGTCAGTGGGAATATCAACAGTGTTTGTCCTTTTTTTTTTTTTTCTTTTAATTTATTCTCTTTCTTTCCTAGTGGTCCCTTGTCCAAGCATTTCTTTTCATTATGGAATTGGCAAGGGCTAACACATCCTGCCAACAGGTGGTGAAACATCAAGGGAGTGGCACTAACAACATCCTTTCAAAAGGGGCACCCACGTCATCTGCTGACTGAGAGGAAACAAAGGGGGCAGTGGTGCTCTGCGTGCTGGAAGGGATCCAGCAGAACAAAGGCTGGAGCAAAACTCAGAAAGAAGAAAATATGGGTTTGAAAAGCAAAAGGTATTTCTGTTCTTTCTGGATTCTCTTTTCTCCCTTCTCACATGTCCCATGACCGACTCAAGTCTCTTCTCTTCTGAGGTGGTCCTTCAGACAAATGAACACTTGCTTACTTTCTCAGGCTTTATTATTTCTCTCTGAAGACTGGAGACCCAAGATGTGGGTTTTGAACAGGTGACAAGACAAAACACAAACAGACAAGGTTACGTAAGCTGAGGTGCTTCAGTCATGCACTGGTTGCCTTTCTTGTCACATGTGAAAACTTTCAAGCCTCACAAGTGACATCTGCACCTCTGTATATGCCTCCAGAAATGTTGAACAATATAATGCTTCCATGGCTCAAAACGTTACATCAGAATCACAGAATATTGTAATAAAAGGAGGAAACTAAGAAGTAAAACTTTAATTTTTCTATTGTCTTTCAATTAAATATCAGCTGAATAATAATAATATGCCTTGTTGTATTTTATATCTTAAATGAACATGCAGTAATCCATAGGCATAAGGATATCAAAAGCCCTGCAAGGTTTTTAGTTTGTTTTAAAGTAAAAAGTAAGTTTTAAAAAAAAAAACAAACCAACCAACCAACCAAACAAAAAAACCCCCATTTTTAAGCTATCTCACTAAATTTCTGCTATAGGAAATCAACTGCACATAGGGCTGATAGAGCTCCTGTGACAGTGATTATCTTCTGACTAACCTCTTGGTTTATTCTATTCCCAGGAGAAATACAGAGAGAAAGCCACTGCAAGAAAGTAAACAACTCCTGAAGGACACATCCCTGAATTTTTGGGGGAAGAAAGGAGGAAATTGGGGTTTTTTGTGGTGTTTTTTTGGGGGTTTTTTTTGTGTTGGTTGGTTGGGTTTTTTTTAATCTTACATGATTGTATTCAGTTTACCTTTGCTGTGATCTGAAATTCTTCATGTTCTTTTAACAGTTCTTGAGTGTGCTGGATACTGGAGCCAGTGGAAGTATGTGTGGATAAATAAAACTCTCCATTGTCATGAATCCATTCCAGAGCCTAAATAAAGCAATAATGAAGGAAAAGTAAGACAGAAGGCAATATACTTTTGCCAATAGAAGCCAAATGTAATCAGTATTTCTCAAACACAGATTGGCCAATTAGTAAACACAGATTGGCCAATTGGTAAATTATGTCACTTGCTGCAATCATCTAATACTTCTACAATATCAAATGGTTTGTAACTCTAAAATAATGAAGCACTGAAGTCTAAGAAGCAATGTTTAAAAAATTAAAGGAAAACAACTGACAAGTCTGAATACCTCAGGGAAGTCAACCATTACAGGGCTATGACAGTCCACTATTGAAAGGTTCTAACCAACTATGTCCACAGCTTTGTTAGTACAAAGCTAATTGGGCAAAACCCACTTGCTAATTGGGCAAAACCCACTTTTTTTTTGGTGCAACACAGGACACCTATACTCAGAAACATACTTTTTTCAACATGTAAAAATGTACCTAAGATTGCCAAATGTGTAGGCTAAGCTTTTCAAGCACGTAAGATTTAACTATTATTTCACTCTTTAGTAGATATGTATTCCAGCCTCACAAGGTATTGTCTGTAGTTACATGTACTCCTAGAAATTAAACCTGCAGCAGAGGAGGAATTGTGAGATGTATCAGTTAAACCAATGAATGTACGTATAGGTAGTAAAAGACCAGAATTAAGAAGGCAATCTAAAATTGTTTCCTTTCTACATCCTGGCACCTTACTCTCTCGCTACTATGAAACATGATGATCCAGGTTATTATCTATGTTCTATCCACATTAATTTTGCTGCCCTTTTAAGCATAACTCTGTGGTTGCAAAGAATCCTACGCTCTCGGGGGGGGGCTACTGGGGCGAGAGGGGGAGAAAGTCCTCTCAAACTGCCACATAACAGTAAAAATAAATATAACTGAAGACTGACACTATCTAGTTGATTTGCAGCTCTTAGTACAGGTTACTACAGCAGTATGCAGAGGCACATGAACTTAAGAAACTTGACAAAGTCAATATCAGGTGTTCAAAGAGTTCAATAGAGCTTGCTTAGAATTGTCTTGTTACTAAATGTATGTTCTCTGTCTTCTGTAAATATACAGAACACTGGAAAAAGATGTAATACCCCAAGAGAAAAAGTAGTAGATTGCTAGTAGGTCCTCATTCTTCCTTTTCTCTCTTACACTTTCAGTTTACCCTTTTATCTACCCACATTACCAAGAACAGGAAAAGTTCTTGGCAGAAAAGGCATCATCTGCATTATAATTCCACCAACAATTTACGCTCATCAATGCTGTGACTGAGTAACTTTGATTCTCTTCCTTCTACTTAGGATGCTTTTGCCTCTTGGCACAAAAACCAAACTTGAGTATAAAGCTTTCAGAATTCAACACTGAATATGAGTGCTAGGATGCCATTTACCTAGTCACATACTAGTGCAGATACAAGCCTGATGAGATGGGCCTGTACTTTTCAAGTACCTCTTACAGAAACAAACCAGCAGCTCTTGGACTAACGTAAAGAACTAACCACCAATATGACACCTCTTGTCTTCCTAATGTCAGTCTTTGCAAGTAAAGACTGATACAGACAAGCAGCATGGCTATTGCTGATATTACCAAAACAACATTTATTTTCATACTTCCTGCTTCTAACTTTAACCTCCAGCTTTCTTTGGTGGGGGTAATACATGATGCTGGAATGAATGAAAAACAAAAAAAACCCTTCCCCTCCCCATATGTTGCCCTCTCATAAGTTTTTTGGCAGCTCTCTAGAGCCACAGCATGACAGAAGTTCATCTCAATGTCAATTCCTACAGTTTAGAACAACCCTCATTTCATGGGAGGATCAGGGTTGTATGCTGGAGACACGTATCACCACACAAGAGCTGGAGAAATCAATGTACTGCCCAGGTGAGCTCTTAACTCTGGAATGATTTGAGAGTCTACCATCTTCCTCAAAAACTACTACGATACCTGCTCCCATAGCAGGGCATCAAGTTCTGAAAGCACAAAGAATAGGTTCTTCCAACTTCCACACAAAAAACTAAAGGAAGAGAGCACCATTTCCATTTTCTGGCTAATCACTGTGGAGTCCTATACTGTTTACGATGACTGAACTAGTGATTGCTGAAAAACGGGATTTACAATGAAAATGCTGACAGACCTTTATCTCCAGCGTTTGACTGTTACTCATTAATCTCTATACAAAACGAAGTAGGTCATGTGCTTGGCAGATGAGCTGGAGAGAAGGTTATTCAAAAGTGGGGTGGGGAGCAGGGAAGGGGTGTTGTTTGAAAGTGCTATCAAACTTGAACTCCACTCTGAGATTTATCTTGCCTTACTTTCTATGTGAAATCATGGAAGACAGACTTCAGAAATCTTTCAAGAGATCAAGACAGACCACTAGTATTTAAGCCTCTGTCTACACAGGCTGTCAGAACGAAATAAAAAACCTAGTTTTTTCTTTTAAGTAGATCTAACTGTATTTCACTATATATGGGCGTTGTGTCCTTTTCTGCAGAACAGGAACAGATAGCTTCCTTTCTTTGTCCTATATCAAGTAAAAAAAAAAAAAAAAAAAAAAAAAAAGAGGTAAAACACCATTGCAGATCATTGCAATTCTGCATTGGAACTCCCTACTTATTTTTATAGTTTGTGTTTTGATTAGTGAAGTGGATTTTTTGTGTGTGTGGTAGTTACTTAATAGCTCTTTCCAGACTGATAAACTCAACAAAATAGAGGTGGATCTACCGTGCCAGAAACCATGAAACTGCAGAATTGCAAAAACTTCCCAAAGTCATTCAGTTATTCTTGTTTAATGAGTTAGCCAGCTTGTCAGTTTTCTAGAACTGCCAGTCAACTTAATTAGATGTTTTTTCCCCCAACATCAGAGAAAAATGTTGCTGCCTGTTATTTCACTGGTCAAATTAGGTGTGTGTATGAAAGTTAACAAGCGTAACAATTTGTCAAACACAAGCTTGCAGAAATGAGATTCTTCAGTACCAGATCAAGCTGGCAGAAGCAAAACACTACCGTTAAGTTACAGCAAAGACACCCTGCCTCAACAGACTTTGTTGCTCTGTATGAAAGGAAAAGCAAATGATTTAACTTACTGTCCAATTTCACCACTGACCTTTCAGCCATTTGAAATACTGAAGTCAATGGCAAGTCTGTTACCGTGGGACAAGTCAGTGTATGTCAAACCTCGAGCACACTGAAGATTTTTATAGAAAACCCTCACCTGCTTGGCACTTCTTTCAAACACCACATACTGTTGGCATTGATCGAGACGTCTTTTACGCATGGTCCAATAATGCAGCACACGGTTCTCCCTCTGGAAGAGTTCATTTAAGATATCTGAAGAAATGAAAAGTTTCAACAGAGGTTAAGAAAATCAAATTTGAAATATCACACTAAAATTAGTGGAATAAAGTCCTTTATTTTGTAGAATATACAATACATTTATTCTTTCTGTTACTCTTCGGTTTGCTCTTTTTTTTATATTCATGAAACAGTGTTCCTGTTTCATTACTATTTACAGAAACGTTGGTTAAAGAAACTAGAGATGCAATCAAAACTTACTAGTAACACCTTTTTTCTCTCAAATATTTTTTATACAGGGACTGCCACTGTTTATAGCAGAATTGAAAATGTAGTTTGATAAAGACTGTTCTTGTCAGGGTTTCCTCAGAAAAATTGAGCATGCACAAGCAATCACATGTTTAACATCTCATATGAATCACATTTTTTAAATAACTTATTTTAATATACCAGTCTCCGAGAAAATATTTAATAGTTTAATATACATGGGCAAATATATAACCTTAGGTCACTACAAGAACAAATGCAACATAAACAGATATTAAATGAACAGAAATCCAAGTAAAAAAAATTCACAAAATTACTGTTTGCAATTACCCTTCCAAAAAAATAATAACTAACAGCAGTATAATTGAATAAGTTGACATGTTCAAATATGAGTGTGCAATGAGCCTTGGGAAAATTTCTAGGTAATCAAATTATTAAGTCCACAATTTGCTACCGATACTCCCGAGTATTGGAAACTGTCTGCCTTTGGGAAGTCACATCCAAATTTCACTGTTAACCTGCAATTCCACATGTTTGACTTATAAATTCTTCTTGATGGCAAAGGCCACCTGCTAACAATATGCAGAAAAGTTTATCTGAACTCTGTTTCTTCAATGCTTATTGGGTTCTTTTCTTCAAAGCAATCCTAGCAGCTCCTTGTGAAGCTCACCTTCCTTACCCAGCGCTTCTTCCACAGAAGCAGCCCTGCCAGACTCTGTAGCACTGAAAACCCAGATGGCAAGCTGAAACACACAGAAATGGGAACACCCGGTGTTTCTGCCAGGTGACTCTGTTGGAAGTTCAAAGAACCCAAGGGGTGGTCTACCAGAAGCAGACGAGACCACAAAAAAGGCTCATTCTTCACAATAATGCTTTACTTGCTTCTCTACTTACACCTAGAGTTGGCTGTTTTCCATAGTTACAAACAGAAGCTCTCAGGTGCTAGGCCTCTTAATGGCTTTTGCATTCCCCTGCCCCACTGCAGGGATCCACCATGCCTTACATCCCAAGAGCCAACAACCCCCAGAAACAGTTTGACGAGAAACTCAGAAAAAGGGAGCCTGAGGGCAAAAGCATCTATCAGTGATCTGGGACCAATTTCAACCGCTCATCACAGCCTCCCTGAGGATTATGAAACCTGTCTGCATGACTGCCAACATCCTCCTGCTTGGAAGCACCGTATTCCCACTTGCCACATAGCGTTGAGATCACCCAGGAATTGCTTTTGGTTGGAATCTGGTCGCTGCAGCCAAAGTTTTCTCCTGCTGGGCAGGCTACCCTAAAATATGCCTCAGCCAATCTGTCCTGTAGTCAAGCCATGAGCTGATCTATGAGCCTCACCTGCTTTGTCAGTTTTAGTTCTGCACCTTGCCACCTCCAAAACGCTTGCTCAGAACACATGCCAGATTTCAGGGGACAAGAACGACGATCATTACACAATGCAACACACCCAACTGGACACACCACATAAAGAGAGACATCTCGAGGGTGACGCAAGAGAAGTAGTTCTGACAAAGAGCATACAAGGTGAATTTAGCTAATTGGAACAGCGTTTGTCCGTCAGGACACGATACAGATGGCAAGCCAGTGAGACATTTGGCTGGGAACTGTTAGTGTTATTGCATTAATTTCTTGGACTGACAAGGAAGAGAAAAAGATATTCTTTCTACTCAAAGCAAGTTACAGAAGATCAACATTCAATACTATGTTTGGATGAGCAGCTCTATTTCAAGTCTTGTGAATTATAGTTAGTCCCTATTGTTATTTTCTTTGATTCCATATTTTAAGACTGTTTCCTAAACTTCCAGCTTATTCTCCAGGCTTGGAGAGCTTTCAGCTTTCTCTGTACATCCTGCACTCTCTATCAACTTACCTAAAAATATAAGCACCACTAGACAAGTCCTTGCACTGTATTCAGTCACAGCCCATACAGCAGAGACAGAGGTAACAAAGCAGCATGGGAATTCAGCAGCAAAAGAAAAGATGAAGATGCTCCATTTCTGAGCTTACTTGCCACAGCACAGTCTCAGGTCACAACTCCTTCCTAAAGTTCAGCTTTGGCACAGTATCCAATAGAGTATTTGGATACTCTAACTGCAGGTCAAGGAAATTATTTACACTGGTAGAAAGGGACAGAAGAACCCCTCTCAGAGTTCAGCACCACTGTGATTCCTGTCTCCCCACGAAGCTTGTGCTTAGCTAAACTTTGCCTAGATGAAGACATTGCTTTTCCAGGTATCATGACCTGCAACTGGGAATAAGGATCAAGTATGCCACTGCATGAGGTTTTTGAAAAAACATTCAGCAGTTCTGCAGAAACTCAAGGGTCACTTAAGTTTTTAAAACATTCATTTCTACACTATGTAGTGATCACAGTCTGCTACACTGTTTCAAACATACACCTGAGTATAGCATGTGTCCAGCAGAACACATGTAACCTTGAGTTCACCAAAATGAAATAAACACTGTTATTTGTGAACAGAGAGGGACTTGTGGGTGATGTGATGGCTGAAGGCTGTCTTGGGCATAGCAATCAAAAAAAGATAGCTTTCGTTTCTCTGATAAGTAAAGAGCGGGGCAGCAGAACTGCCCCCTGGGACTTCCAGAGGGCTGACTTTGGCCTGTTTAGGGGGCTAGTTGACAGAGTGCCATCACACAGCACACACAGGACAACCAGGGGATCAGGCCCAGTCAGCATGGGTTTATGAAAGGCCTTGACAAACCTCATCCCCTTCTATGACAAGGTCACCGACTTAGTGGATGAGGGAGAGACTCTGAAATGTTGTCCACCTGGCTTTTAGTAATGCATTTGACACCATCTCCCACAGCATTCTCATGGAGAAACTGGCTGTTTCTCCAGAATACTGGCTTCACAGTTTGGACAGGTGCACACCTCACTGGGTAAAAAACTGGCTAGATGGCTGGACCCCAAGAGTTGTGGTGAATGGAGTTAGATCCAGCTGTCGGCTGGTCACAAGTGGTGTTTCCCAGGGCTCAGGTCTGGGGCCAGTTCTCTTTAACATGTTTATTGATCATCTGGACACAGGAACCAAGTGCGCTTTCAGTAAGTTTGCAGATGATAAGTTGGGTGCGAGTGTTGATCTGCCTGAGGGTAGGAAGGCTCCATACACAGGGATCTGGACAGGCTGGATCAATGGGCCAAGGCCAATTGTATGAGGTTCAACAAGGCCAAGTACTGGGTCCTGCACCTGGGTCACAATAACCCCCTGAAGTACAGGCTTGGGGACGAGTGGCTGGAAAGCTGCGCAGTGGAAAAGGACCTGGGGGTGTTGGTCAACAGCCGGCTGGAATATGAGCCAGCAGTGTGCCCAGGTGGCCAAGGCGGCCAACAGCATCCTGGCCTGAGTCAGGAACAGTGTGGCGAGCAGGAGTAGGGAAGGGATTGTCTCCCATTCGAGGCCACACTCAACAGTCAGCTAAATATGAGCCAGCAGTGTGCCCAGGTGGCCAAGAAGGCCAACACCATCCTGGCCTGAGTCAGGAACAGTGTGGCGAGCAGGAGTAGGGAAGGGATTGTCTCCCATTCGAGGCCACACTTTGAATACTGTGTTTGCTTTTGGGCCACTCACTATAAGAAATACATTGTGGTGCTGGAATGTGTCCAGCGACAGCAACAGACTTAGGGAAGGGTCTGGAGCACAAGTC